AGGAGGAGGAGGAGGAGGAGGAAGGCGAGCGCGTCCAACGCGGACATTCGTCACACGACATCAAACGCGGGTGCCGCCCGTTGGAGACTCGACCGACCGACTCTAAAGACCCCGGTCGATCAGCCATGAAGAGCAGAGTCTGACGAGGAATTGCAAAAAAATCGGGAAAAATTAAGGGTGGATCAAAAACAGCCTAGCCGTCCGACATTGTGCGCAACTTTGTTGCTATTCTTTATCGCGTTTATCGTCCTTGTCCTCGATTCACGTCGATTACGATGTTTATTTCATCAAAGCAAATGTATACGTGTCTTCATTAATACCTCGCCGCGCGTTAATTATACCTCGACGCAACTGCTTGATGTTGCTTAATATCTTTATCTCTAACGCGACGGCTCCCACTTTTTGTTTAGCAGGTACACGCGAATCAAACAAAAATGCAATCGGCCTCGTCGAGCGGCCAGTCGAGAATTTCGTACGTTCATTCCGAGTTGCAATTTACAGTTGAAGCTTTGAAAGCTGCAACGCTCGCGCGGCGCACCAAGTAAGCCAAGACCGAATACAATGACTACTTGGAAGAGAGAGATCCATTTGCGACGAAGAAAGATCGATTAATCATGACATGTAACGTGCTCATAAAAGCGCGCAAACAAACCGGACGGTAGGAAGAGGGAATGGTAGGGAGAGCGAAAGTGACATAAAGGAAAAGAGAGAGACGATCGACCTCGCGCGACGTAATGTCGTTGATCTCCTTCGGTCGACCGGATCGGCCGAAAGAGAGGAGGGGAAAAAAAAAGAAGGATAGTGATATAATGTAGATACGTGGCTGAAGATATATTAACTTTGTACTCCGACGACCTTGAATTATTGCACGGACGATGACGGGGCGGTAGCTGATATCTCGCGAGACACTCGATCACCGATCTACGTCGCAAGTCATCCCGATCATTGTGCGTGCCACGATGCTGGACCGGTAGCAAAATCAAGGACTAACCTTGCCTGAAACGCTTTAATCCGGTCTATCCGCCGCGAATAGAGTACCCTGACGATTCCGATATATCGTTTGATATCGTTTCAGCCGAGAGTCTAAGAGAATTTAATCTCGTCGAATCTATCGTATTTTTGCGGCTTCCCTCGAGAAATTGAGAGATACCAAGTGAGAGATTGAAATGCCACTTTTCTGGAAATTTATAGAGAACGGTGGTTTTACGGTGTGCGTACACTCGTCTCGAAAATGAAGTAACTTGGAACGGATTGCGGGAATTTCGGGATAAGCAAAATTACCATGGCGATCGCCCGACGAAAGGCAGTCTTTCCTAAGCGATGTTTAAAGTACGAGAACAACTGATCGGAGAACAACCTAACTCCGGTTTACGCGATTATATATTATGCTTTCGAGTTTCGCATTAAGTTCGTCGTCCGGCGAACGAGCGGATTTTACGACGGAAGATTTCGCGAAACAATCTCGTTCTCGAGGGAGCTTCTTGCACATCGGGAGTCGGCCCACGGTTATTCGCATAACCGCAAATAATTACCCGCCCGTTATGTACTTTTCAGTCACGTTATGGTTAACGATAGTTAAAAGCGGAGAGAGAGAGAGAGAGAGAGAGAGAGAGACATCGCCGTCGGGTATTTACTCCTACCGTTACGTTATTACTTACCAACGAAGTAATAC